AAGAAAGATGTCCAGATGTGGCTACCTTCAAGTTTGCTCTTCCAACTCCAACCTGCTGGAATTTTAATTCTAGAATTTCCATTTGGTTCCTTTTTACTGAGATTCCCCACCTGCTCACTCACAATTTCCCCCAATTCTTTTTTATTTTTAATTTTTTCTTTTTAGATATAGATGACAGTACAGTGTATTTTGACATATTATACATACATGGAGTATAACTTTAATTAGCATCCCATTCTTGCAAGTTGTAAATTATGTGGAGTTTCACTGGTTGCAATTCCCTCAATTCTTTAAACATATTTATTAAATTCAAAATCAAAGCTCTATAAGTCAGTTTCTCTTTCTTCTTCTCCTTGTCGTTTTTTTTTTTGTTGTTGTTGTTGTTGTTGTTTTGTTTGTTTTTTTTTTTTTTTTTTTTTTTTTTTGGTATAGTTTGGTTGACCCTTTATTTTTAACCAAATGGGAAAGGGACTTCCTGGCAATGGTAGTGTTAAAATTAGGTTAAGCAGTAAACTAAGGGATGCCAAAAATCTAATGTCAAAGTAGTTGTTTGAAGAGGGCTTAACCCCTCTGTGCCTCAATTTTATCACATGTAAATGAAGGACTTGGACTAAGTAAGTATTATTGAGCTTTTTTCCAGCTATAAGGAGGTTGAGGGGATGCACCATGCAGATCTGTAGTACACACTCTTGGCTCACTAACTCAACGGCCATTCCCAGCTCCTTCTCCTTTGCCTTCCTCTACTCCAGAAGAGGCTGGAAAAGTTCAATGACCCCTTTGTCAGCCTCCTTTGGAGTTAAGGGGTGACAATATTACCAAGTTCTGGCCATAAGACATAAGGGGAGTCTCTTGAGGTTCTTGTAGAAAGCCTTTTACTTTTTTGATAAAATAAACAGGCACAAAAGAGAGTAGAGCTCTCTCTTCTTTGCCCCTGTTGGTGCAGATTGATCCCTGGACCCAGGATGTTTTGTGGTAGCTTTGTATGTGTCAACCAAGATACGCAGGAACTGTTGTCCAGGATCCTTGCAAGTTCCAGGCTAGCACTGATCACAAGTGACATGTTGCATGAGATTGGAAAGACAGCAGGGAAGCAGCATCCACTGTGGTTATGCTCTGAAGGAAAATGCAAGGCTCCAGGGACACTGGCCACTCTCACATGCTAATCTGCTGACTCACCTCGATGCTTGGGGCAGCACCCAGGCTTGCAGGTCCTCCAGCTCTCACCACATCTCCTCCTCTGGCTCCTTTAAATCCTAAACCAAGTGCATCTGTAGATCCATGAAGGGCACCAGCTTCTTCTGCAGGACACTGACACTAGAGAGAACAAGACACATGCAGATCCAATCTGTCCTCAAAGATTTCCATCATTCGTGATTCCAGTTTGTCCTTCTAATCTGTTCTTGCTCTCATCCACAACCAGCTCTCTACCCTGCCCTCCATTCTAGCAGGATCAACAAAGAACCAAAGACAGCAAATAGCACTGCATAGACTCTTCCACCAGTTCCCACATTGTGCCAGGCCTAAGGAGCATTGTCTATAGAACTTCTGTGATGAAGGGAGTGTTTTAAAACAAGCCACTCAGTAGGATAGCCACTAGTCATATGGATATTGAGCACTTGAAACTTGAGTTTCTTAAACCCATAAACTTAAATTTTCTCTTATTTAAATTTAATTAATTTAAATAGCCACATGTAGCAGGTGGCTAGCATATTGGGCAATGCTAGCTACTGCCTAATAATAAATTTCACATTCTTTATCCCTCGTAGTGGTCCTGTTTCTCCGACTGAATCCTGAGCTGTACAGGAAGCAACAACTGGTAGCTTCATGGGGAAGAGCACAGAGACACAAAGACAACACACAAGGAATGACAGGGCCAGAGGACAAAAAGAGCCTGTGTCCTGTAGCTCCACCAGCAAGCAATCTAGAAACTTCTTATGTGAGGGGGAAAAAAGATGTCCCTGTAGCAGTGGACATCACTGTGTCCTTTCAATAAATTCTCTTTCTTGGGAGCTTCTGCTTGACGCAATGAAGTAGTCTGATCCTTGTCTAGGATATTACAGGTCATGGGTGGTGTTTTTAGAACTGAATTTAGGGGGGGAAATATATGTATACATGCATAGAACTCATAAAGATTTAAATTAGTCTTTTGATTAGGCAAGTAACATAAATAGAACTACAAACAAGAATTATTGTTGGCTTCCTCTCTTATAGTTCTCTTTTCCTTCATGTTTATCCTTGCTTTCTTTTGAGGAATGACCTTCAATAACTTGCATTCCAAAGTCTTTATTTGACTTTATGGATACATAAATAAAAACTATGAGTTTTAGACCTTAAGTAGTGTGTATTAGGAGTCTCTAAAAAAACCAAACCAACTAGATGCGTGTGTGTGTGTGTGTGTGTGTGTGTGCTGGTGTGTGGGTGCATGTGTTTGTGTGTGTGTGTACCTCTCCTGAATATATAGTCATGTGCCACATAACTATGTTTAGGTAAACTATGGACTCTATATGCTGGTGGTCTCATAATATCATACTGCCTAGAGATGTTGTGGCCATTTTTGTGTAAGCACACTGCATGATGTTTGCACAACCACAAGACTGCTCAATGATGCATTTCTTAGAATGTATACCTGTCACTAAGTGACAAATGGCTATATATACATGTCCTGTGATGTAGTTGAAGGGGTCTCACAGCTAAAGTACCCATGTCAAAGATTCCAATTTGGGTCTGAAAACCTGAGAAGCAGGAATGCCAAGGGCAGAAAATGACCAATGTCTCAGCTCAAACTGGGTGTTCAAACTTTCTCTACATTTTCAGATTTCCTCACCCAATAGATTGGATGAGGCCCACCCACAATTGAAGAGAGCCATCTGCTTTACTCAGTCCACAACTGAAGTTCTCACCTCTACCAGACATACCCTTATATATACCCTCAGACATTTCCAGACTATTTAACCAGCTACCTGTACAGGCCATGGCCTTGTCCAGTTGACACACAAAATTAACTATCACATAGTGTTCCCCAAAACACAATGGCCTCACAATCAGGAACTAAAACATTAGCAAAGCTTTATGGTCCAATCCTAGCATTGAGAGTTATAATTTGTTTTCTGTTAAGAAATTCTAAGCTTTTTGTAAACCAAACATGTATTAAGATACTGACACTAAAATTAGAAATGGAAAGAAGCAGCTTTAGACTTGGACTTACAGGAACAAATTTTATGTCCAATTGAGGATCATTGGATGGCAAATCAACCCTTCTAGTCAGACATCTGACTGAACACACATGCTGTGCATTCTGCATTGTCAGATCTCTGACTAGAAGAATTAATTTTCATGTCTGTCTGCCGGCAAGTAAAGGTGAATCACACAGTAGCTGATAGGGTACCAGGCCCCCTAGACTCACAGGGCCCCACTATGGTCTGCGGCAAACTATGCTGTAAAATAGATTCACCGTGTTTTTCTATTAGGAATTTGATTCTTTTAAAAAGTTTCCCTATGGCTTAGGGTGAGATAAGATAAGGTTATGTGCCAGAGTAGTAACCACTGAGTGACAAAAATTGGTAATAAGATGTTATTGAACTGCAGTTTACAGTTTGAAAGAAAATTGTAGAGCTTGAGATCCCTTCCCCCTCATGAATCCATGCCCTGAAAAGTTTAGGGATTGAGGTAGTAGCTGTTGATGGGTGAAAAATTGGCCTAGAACCTTTTCAAGGGGTCCAGTAAATTATGCTTGCCATAATTTACCATGAAACCCTGCATACCAGTCTCCAGGCCAGAATCAAGGTAAGCTAAGAAGCAAGCCAGGCAGCTCTTCCTGTCCTGCTACACAACTCTGTATTTGCCAGTTCCCTGAGAAAATCCCTATAACTTTCAGGGCTCCTCCCTTCCCCAAGAGAATATAACCTTTCTGGTAAAATATAATTGCCCCTATTGTCTGTCAAACTGGATTTTGTTTTAAGTAGCAGTCCATTTTCACCATTGTAATTATGACAACAAGTGATAGTCATCATTTTTGTCGGCTCCATTCTGAGATTGGCTAATCACCAATCACTACCAGGAATGCTCTTTCCAATGGTCCCTGCATGGTTAATTGAATGTGAAAAGGTTAATGCTAAACAACATATCAACAGTTTGTTAAAAGACTGAGCTGGAGTAGAGAACAATGAAGTAAAGTTGTTTTCAAGCTGTGGCCACATACACAATTCTAATCAACTACAAGAAACTTTTTTTTTTTTTAAGGTTGCTTAAACAAGTAGTTATTAGTGTTGACATAGGAAAGGCGAAATTCCTGTAATCGAATCCAAGCGGCAGCTCAACAGGCCGCTCAGTGGTGTGTAAGGTTTGGTTCCTTGGATGGACAGACTTGCTTTTCACTCCCTCCCAATTTTTGTCCCGCCCTCGTGGCGTATCTTCCTGGGAATGTTTTTAAAAAAAATAAAAATAAAAAACATATTGGTCTTCAAGCTGTCTTTGATGTCTGTTATTTCCTGGTTCATCTCAGGGGATTGGGTCCTCCAAACTTCTCCAGTGTCTGGTGAGTCGCTTTGCTTTTCTGTGTATTTTGTTGTATTCTGTTCAGACCCCCAAAGTATCCCCGCACTCCTTCCCAGCCCTGTGCCGAAGCCAAACGCTTCCTAGCAGAGATCAGAGGGCCCTGTAGCTTTGAGTTCGGGATCCCGGGTGCGAGAAATGCCGTCCCCGCTAGCGAGAACCTCCCAGATGCTGGTAGCCCGCGAGTCCCTGCCCTGCGAAGCGCCGGGCTGGTGCTCCAACCCCAATCCCTCTCCTCCCGGCGTGCGTGCCCCTGGGATTCGCAGAGTCCGAGCAAGTGTGACGTCTGGCCTCGCCGGCACCCGCGGGCTCTGGCACTTGCACTGCGGAATGCCACTCCTGGGCCCGCCCCGCGGACGGCACGGGGCGGGGGCGGTCGCTCGTCTTCACTTGGGCTCCCCACTAGGTCAGAGCGAGTAAGGCGCTGGAGACTCCTGGGCGACCGGATGCAGCAACTGAACCAACGCTGGGCGTACGGCGGGAGACCCGGGGCGAGGCTGCCCTTGGTGCGTGTTGGGGACCCGAAGGGGACTCTGGATTTCGGTCCCTCCTCTTTTCCCTCTGGGTCTCGCACTCGGGTTGTCGACCCTCCTCCCAGGTACTGGCCAGGAGCGGAGGGCACCTATCTCCACAAATCGCATCATGGGCAACGCCTCCAATGACTCAGGGTCCGAGAACTGCGAGACTCGACAGTGGCTCCCCTCGGGCGAAAGCCCAGCCATCAGCTCCGTGATGTTCTCCGCCGGGGTGCTAGGGAACCTCATCGCGTTGGCGCTGCTGGCGCGCCGCTGGCGGGGGGACGCGGGGCGCACCTCCGGTGGCAGAAATTCCATCTCCTTGTTCCACGTGCTGGTGACCGAATTGGTGTTCACAGACCTGCTGGGTACCTGCCTCATCAGCCCGGTGGTGCTGGCTTCATACGCAAGGAACCAGACTCTGGTGGCTCTAGAGCCCGAAAGCCGAGCGTGCACCTACTTCGCCTTCTCCATGACCTTCTTCAGCCTGGCCACGATGCTCATGCTCTTCGCTATGGCTCTGGAGCGCTACTTTTCCATCGGGCACCCCTACTTCTACCAGCGCCGCTTCTCTCGCCGCGGGGGCCTGGCGGTGCTGCCAGTCATCTATGCGTTCTCTCTGCTTTTCTGCTCCCTGCCGCTGCTGGACTATGGGCAGTACGTTCAGTACTGCCCTGGGACATGGTGCTTCATCCGGCACGAACGGACAGCTTACCTGCAGCTTTACGCCACCGTGCTCCTGCTGCTCATAGTAGCGGTGCTTGCCTGTAACTTCAGTGTCATCCTCAACCTCATCCGAATGCACCGCCGAAGCAGGAGAAGTCGCTGCGTACCTTCCTCTGGCAGCTGCCGGGGTCCCGCGGCCCGCAAGAGAGGGGATAAGCTGTCCATGGCGGAGGAAGCGGACCACCTCATCCTCTTGTCTATTATGACTATCACCTTCGCCATCTGTTCCTTGCCTTTCACAGTAAGTCACTCGTTTCCACAGCCCAGCTCAGTGCCAACCTTCACCTCAATCTTTCCACGGCCCTACAAACCTTTTGCAACTTGAAAAAAAAAAAGTGTCCTAATTTGTAAAGATCGTTTTTCACCTTTACCTCATTTCCTTCCTCCCCATCTGGCATATGGACGTCCATAACCTAATGTTTCTAAGCCAGCCCAGCCTCCACCCTAGAGTTACAAGCCCCAATTCACACCATTTTAGCTGTCATTGAAAGTGGAACCAGGTCTCTCCTGTGAAAGTTCAGAAAGTTCTTTTTTTTTTTTTTTGTCCTTAAAGTTCAACAAACATCTAGTTTACAGGTTTCACAATTTATATATTCAAGCATAACTCTCTGTGGCCATGAAAAGTCATGACATCTCCATAATGATGTGGTGAGGAAAAGAGAACTGGCCCAGGAACTCTTTGCTAAGCTTTTGGTTTCTCCAGAGAAGGCAATTGTAAACTGTTACAGAGTATCATCTTGATACTAGCAGGAATATACACATGTGCTCTTCATTTTATAGTCCTGCACTTTATGATCACAAAGTTATACGCAGGGAGGATCCATCTCAAGGAAGGGAGAGTGGGGTTGCCTGGGGAATAGAAGGGCAGGAACTGACAGCTAAGTGCAACCTCCAGGCAGTTAGTTCTAGGATGCTCTGAATTAAAGTCATCTCAAGTGTAATGTGATAATGAAGGCTGGGATGTCAAAGCAAGTTATGAGCTCTGAAAGAGTTAGAAATTGGGAGTTTGGAAGAGAAAGACATGGACAGTGTCTGACTTGTCATGTAGAAGTTGGAGAAGTAACTTTATCCTACTGCCTATCTCTGTCATTGCTTCCAGTTTCCTTCGTCTTCTCATCCTCAGCAGTGGAAAAGGACACAGGGTTCTAAAAGCCCACAGATGATCCCCACCCGCAGTGAACTTCATTTCTCAGCTATGTTCTCTTTGCCCTGGTCCCTACTGTCCTCACACTTGTACCCACCAATCCTGTGAGGGCAGAAGCTGGTCTGAATGGGTAAGTCACACTTAGGGGGAAATGAGGAGGAGTTTGTCAAAGGTACCCTCTTAAATAATGTGGGACCATGTGGAGGTGACATCTCCCATTCCACCTTGAGCAGAGAGTGTGTTATAGAAATTTTGCAATGTAGAAACCAACATGGCTTCTACACTCTTGTTCTGTTTTACTAAAGGAGGTTTCAATTATGTTAAGGGCTAATTGGCTTTTGGGGATTAGATCTAAGATGCAGAACACTATCAATGAAAGAAAGCACTTGAAGTTCCACCAAACAACAGAATTCAACTTGGGGAACATAAACCATTCCTGAATGGGGGAGTGACTGTCTTAGGTTGGTGGGAATTAAGATGTCAGTTCTTAAATTTTTATCTATCATTTATGAGTGGATTTATAAAAATATCCTCCACCTCTGGTTACTTCAATAGCCCAGGAAAGGGCTCAAGTGTGAAAAAGGACTGTTAATTTCCCTTTTATTTAGAAGAGGCAAACAGGAAGAAAAAGGTCTCCCCCTTTTACCATGACTGTTCTACTGCATAAACTGTATTTTTAAAAATAAAGAGTGATTTTCAACAGGTTCCCCTATTTTCATATAGACCTTTGAACTGTAGGTAATCCAAGAGGCACAAAACAGAAAATTGAAATCTCAAAGTTATCTCTGATTAAGAACATCTACATCGATCATTGACTAATTTTATTTTATCAATAAAATTTTGGCCATAACTGTTAGTATTCTTTCACTTCATACATTTTTCACTACATACCACTTCAAACTTTATGAAGTGGACTGGGGCTTTAGCTCAGCGGCACAGCGCTTGCCTAGCATGCATGAGGCACTGGGTTCGATCCTCAGCACCACATAAAAATAAACAAACAAAATAAAGGCATTCTACCCACTTATAACACAAAAAAAAATTTTTAAAAAGCTTTATGAAGTGCTGCACTATTCTGATTTAAGTTATATCTTGAGGGTCAATCTGATAAATTCAAACTCAGGACTACTGTTTGGTTCATATATTCTGACATTTCAAATACTTGGCATGTGTCCCAGAAGGTGCTCCCCCATCCCCGAGCAGCGTGGTTCTATTTGGCCCACACTAAGATATTGGTCAGAAATGGCCTATACCAATCTCCTACCCAAGGTAGGAACCATTTGCCCACATCATACCTGGGAGCTCAATAAAATAAGGCAGGGGCTCATGATTGCCTTCAGAAATTCTCCTATTTCTCCAACAGAGTACACACAGCTCAATAGAAATACAAATTGCACCACATGTGGAATTTTAGATTTTTTTCTATAAGCCACAGAACAAAAAGTAAAAAGAAACAAATGAAACTAATTTCAATTATTTTATTTAACCCAATATGTCCAGAATATTACCAATTAAAAAAACTATCAATGTAGAAACATTTATTGAAGTATTCCAACTAATTTCTTCCTTGTATCCCAGAAACACCAGAAAACCATCCTATCTCTGCCCATCCCTTCCCCAGGATAACAAAGAACTACTTTCTTTGTCCCTTAAAAGTATATCAGACAACTAATCAGCAAGGAGGAGAGTTCACAACTGTGCCAGTAGGACACCAGTCCATCCCACAGTATGCTAAGCAGTAGAGGAAAATGGAGGACTTAGAAACCTGGAACAACTAATGTAACCATTGTCCCAGGGTATGGGAGAGAGACCTGGCTTCTCCAAGGATGCCAGTCAAGGGTCTCCAAATTTTAGTAAGTGAAACTCTCAAAATGGGGGATAAAATAACAGGCACCCTAAAATAACTTCAAGTTCAACCTCATGTATTATTATTATCAACACAAAAGAGACAGGTTTTTGAGTTTTTGAGCATTGTATCAACCCATCATCTTTACAACAACCTATAAAGGAGATAATATTATGATTCCAGATGAGGCCAATAGCTTCAGGTAGGTCCTGAAGCTAGTGAGCGATTGAGGTGTGATTGAAAGGCAGTTAAATCACCAAAACCATGCACTTAAACTGTAATACTACCAAAGAGAAAATACTCATTCCAGGGGTGACATGAGAAGATTAATCAAAAATTTCACAAGAGAACTGTGAATTCATTAAAGATATTTTTCCTTTTGATTCTAGCTTGTTAGTTTTAAAAATAAAATGGCAAAGCTCTTTTTTCTCCATGTCAGTTCAAGGAGCTAAGCTGGGTCTCAAGTGTGTGGTTTTCTTTTTCTCCTCTGGAGACTTACTAAATAAAAGCTTGAGACTGAGATTTTAGGAGATTGGCTAATGTAAATGCTGGTCTAAATTAAGAAATAATCAGATAACCCCTCACGTAAAATCTTCCACATAAAACTTTTTTTTTTTTTAGTGATTAAAAAAAAAAACATGTGGTGTTTGGGAAATGACATTATTTTGGCTGTCCAATATGAAATCATGCATGAGACCAACAACATATTCCAAACTGTTTATCTGCTAAAGGAGTACTGTATAAATTAATAAATTCCTCCTTATGTTAATCAGCTGTTGTCATCATTTCACAGTGATAAATAGAACTTTTTTTTCTTCCTGAAATGGAACAGAACACAGAGAACATATGAGACCTCCATTTTTGTTTCAAATACTGTTTGTGTCTAAATTTCCAAACCATATCAAGCTACTTTCTCACCATGTTACTGATCGTGGGTAGCTTCTGGTCATTTTAAACTGTTTTTCACATGCCATTGGGATAAAGTGCTTATATATTTTATTCAGTTCTGAAATTTCAAGAACAAACCTTTGACTCATTCTAAAAATGTCTTCATCTTTGCAAATTCTTTAGGGTTATAATTTCTAGGTAAATCTGATTAGTGGAAATTTGATCATTGAAGTACAAAAAAAATTCAAGTAAATAATACTAGAGTTTTCTGTTAATTCCTGATATTCTTTATGTGCAGTGTAACATGAATGAGGGTTTAAAAGCTGATGTAAAATTGGCTGATTACATACATGCAAAATATAATAATTCAGGTAGGGATTAAAGAGAAATCCAGAAATCTCTGTGCATAATTATAATGAATTTTTGTCTGATGGTATTTTAGTAAACGTCTATGAACAACTGGAAGGCCCTTTACCATTCAGGCATTATTAACCATGTGTTTGGGGATTGTTGAGACAGTTTTAATATACATTACCTTTTAAGAGAAAGTACCTCTAGATGAGTATTTTCATTGAACATCTTTTCCTTTGCCATTTGGTACTATGTAATGGGGAATATAAATGGACACAGAATTATATGGTTTTTAAAATTTAGACATCAAGAACCATTATCCTTTTCCCAAAAGAGAATTTGTATCTTATGCCTACACCCTTGGTCAAGTGCATCCTCATTGCTGTTTCTGATGGTTTAGGCCAGGTCCTTGGCTTAAATAAAAACAGCTTTTTGAGATGTATATTTCTTGCTTGGCATGCTAAGAGCCCATCACATTATTAAGTTTAACAAGAAAAAAAGAATAGAGATGGTGAGACATTCTGTTTCAGAAACACAGCCAATAGATTTGCTTCCACAAAGAGGCAAGTTAATCTACAACTTAGTCTGCTTGCTTGACTTCTTCTGTCTTGTTTTGAAGTTTCTGACCACCACTCCCCATTCAGGTCTTGAGCTCAGATCTGATGTACTTCAATTTACATCATCATGGTATACCCAGCTGTATTTTTCTGACAGTATTTTGCTGCCTAGAATTGCCCCTAACTGAAAATAAATTAAAGTACCCTAAATTGGGACATATGCTGTGATGGGAAGGGCCAGGGAGGCAAAGTACATTTCTGGATGGCTGAAACTTCCTCTATACCACTAGGGTTCTTGACTTTCTGCTTCACAGATAGCACATGAATCTTTCTGAGATCTTTTGCAAAATTTATCCAATTCCTTGGTAGGTAGTTCATAGTGACCATCATTTTCTCAAAGGGTTAAGAGTCACCATCCTGGAATAGTTAGGCCAGGAGCTTTTAACCTTAGCACCCTCTCCTCTTCTCAGTTCTGAGAAGCACAAGACACAGGACACACTCATCCTGGAGCCAAATCTATGGTCCAGCAAGGTGCAGTGGTGTAAACCTGTAATCTTAGTGGCTCAGGAGACTGAGGCAGGAGGATTACAAGTCCAAAGCCATCCTCAGCAACTTAGGGAGGCACTGAACAACTCAGTGAGACCCTGTCTCTAGATAAAATTTTTTTTTTAAATGGCTGGGGATGTAGGTCAGTGGTTAAGCACCCCTGGGTTTCAATCCCTGGCACAAAAATAAATAAATGGTCCAGTTTTTCCTTATGACAGGAAACAAGTTTAGTCTCCCTCTACCAGAAAGCATCTGTGATTTGAGGGAAACGGTTTCTTTATTAAAGCATGGCATACCTGGAAAATAATTCCCCCTAAAGTTTTTTAAAATAATTAAATATGCAAAGCCTATTGCCAGGACACCCTAATTTCTTTCAGAAGCCAGATAAACATAACAAGGGATGCCTGTAAATTAGCCATGGGATGAGTAATGCCCAGAGAATGCCAAACAGCTACAGAGAAAGAGGCAGCTTTTCAGTCTATAAACGGGAGTAATGTTATCCAGAGACTTATAATTCTGTCAGTCATTTGTGAATTTCAAGTGAAACTTCACAGAAAAGGCTTTTTACATAGATGGCAGCACAGTGTGGAGTGGCTACAAGTGTCTCACTGCTTCCTGGAATGTGATCTTAGGCAAAGTGACTGATCTTCTGAACCTTGATTTCCTCCTTTCTAAAATGAGAATAATAAAACTGGGCATGGTGGTGCACACCTAGAATCCCAGCTATTCAGGAAACTGAGGCAGGAGGATCACAAGTTCCAGACCAGTCTCAGCAGTTTAGGGAGACTCTGTCTCAAAATAAGATTAAAAGTGGGGGCTGAGGATGTAGCTCTGTTATAGAGTGCTCGCTTAACATGCACAAGGCCCTGGGCTCAATCTCCAGCACTACTAAATAAATAAATAAGGAATAATAATACTTTGTAGGTTTGTGAAAATGTTATACAGAGTAAGATTTACAAATTGCTTAGCCCCATGCCAAGCCCACAGCAGATGTTTAATAAATGTTAGCTGTTATGTCCAGAGGATTCAATATCCAAAGCAAAATCAGATTGTGTATTAGTGATTGGGAACTGAATTCTGGAGCTTTGGTCATTTGTTGGCTTGACCAGGCCTAAGAGGATGGGTTTTTTGGTTTTGGTTTTTTCTATTCTTTTTTTTTTTTTTTGGTTGGTTTTGCAGTGCTGGAACTTGAACCCAGAGACTTGTACAAGGTCTTTTGTTTTTAAGTGTGATTAATGAATAATTTGAAAACATTTCAGATTTTAGGTAAGGTTCTAAAGCTGTAGTTCTCATACTTGTCTGCACATTAGAATCACCTGGTGTGTGGGGTGGGGTAGGATAGAATGGCTTTTAAAAATTCCTGACCACTGGGCGCATGCCTGTAATCACAGCAACTGGGGAGGCTGAGCCAGGAGGATTGCAAGTTCAAGACCAACCTCAGCAACTTAGTGAGCCCCTGCTCAAAATTTTAAAAAAAGTCCAGGGATGTAGTTCAGCAGTAAAGCACCCTTAGGTTCAATCCCCAGTACCAAAACAAAATAAAACAACAACAACAAAAAAAAAAAAAAACAGCCCTTTTCCCCACATCCTTGCCAGCACTTGTTGTTGTTCAACTTCATAATGGCTGCCAATCTTACTGGAGTGAGATGGTATCTTAGAGTG